AAGTGATACTCTATTTTTATAAAAGGATGACTGGAAATGGTGTATGTCTGAAATATTCCTGATCTGACTAATTATAGATGATGGCTTGTAAAACCTTCACATTTTTATAGCTTCGTGGAAGAGTTTGTCTAGATGCCTCTTTGATTCAACCTCTTCACAACATATATCAGCCTTCCCCAACCTGGTGCAGTCCAGATGTTTGGGACTACAGATGCCATCCACCCTGGCCTGTAGATACTGCAAGCATACTTCTAGAAAATCATTGCAACGAGCTAACAATTGTGTCATTTTTGAATAATTTTGCAGAATGATTTTGCAGTCTTATCTGGCTTTTACATTTATGTGTTAACTGCTGACCCATTTCTCAGTTGCAGAACTATCTGAAGCAAAGTGAATCCATCAGGGGCCCTCCATTTTTATTTAAAGTTTACATTTGCTACAACAAACAAAAGGGAATACTCTGAGTTGGTGTGTCTAATGCCTACTGTTCCAGAGTTTTCAGTTTAATGCCACGACTGTGGACCGAGGACAGAAAAAAGCCCCAGCAGCATCATTGTGAGAGCTAACTTGCAGATGAAATGAAATTAACAAGAGCTGTACAGAGCTTCTAAGCTTCTTTAAAAGAAAAGAAAAACAGCAAGCAGCCAACTCAAATACAAATTCAAAAGGAAGCAAGCCGAGGGCTAGCCAATGCAACTTTAAGGTAAAATCATCAGATTTAATTTCAAGTACGTCAGAAAGAAGTTGTCATGCTGGCCAAAGAGCTGCAGGGAAGGGGTCCACAAGCTTAGGGAAATGACGGAAATGGCTTCAGAGAGTGGTTGTTTGAGGAGACCCGCTACTGTCCCTGGAATTTACTTATTGAAAGAGAATTGAAGGGGTGAAATTGGGTCTGTGAATTGTAACCAATGCACTCATTTGAAAGTTCCAAATTCCATTTGGTAAGCTTGCAAAGCAGTCTGTTGTAATAAATACAGGCATGGGTCTTTCCTTCCCCTGGCCTCCATTCTTGTTCCCCCCCCCCCCGCGCAGTATCGCCTTGTTTCCCTGACATGCTAGAAGGCAAGTCTGAGTACTCTTGTCAGGCCTACTCCATTCTGGGATTGTAAATATAACAATTAATGGGCTTTGTGTTACTTGGAGGAGGTCCGTATACTAAGCAAGGTTGGCCCAGCAAATTTTGGCACCTGAAGCAACCCCAAAACGGTGTCCCCTACCCACCACCACAGAAGAACAGGTGAGGAAACATCTACATCAGGAATAAAGGGGAAAGGAAGATCAACATCAGGATCTGCTGTCCCTGGGGATCCTGCAGCATGAGGCGGTCACCTCACCTTGCCTCATGGGCAGGTGGCCCTGATGCCAAGCTCCTGTGATAGATGGCAGTGTGGTGTAGTGGTTAAGAGCGGTAGTCTCGTAATCTGGGGAACCGGGTTTGCGTCTCCGCTCCTCCACATGCAGCTGCTGGGTGACCTTGGGCCAGTCACACTTCCTTGAAGTCTCTCAGCCCCACTCACCTCACAGAGTGTTTGTTGTGGGGGAGGAAGGGAAAGGAGAATGTTAGCCGCTTTGAGACTCCTTAAAGGGAGTGAAAGGCGGGATATCAAATCCAAACTCTTCTTCTTCTTCATTACTTCCCCAACTCAAAGTGGTATGTGGCCTTGGAAATGTAAAGGTTCTACCTCATTAGGCTTCAAGAAATGGCAGGACCCATTAACAATATGCTTATCCTTGATTTAACCTGCTGCCTGCAGAAACCGTTGAATGCTGCCTTGTGTCTTTGGGGAAAAGGTGGGATATCCATCCACCCATCCATAATGCTAGCTAGAGCCCACTTTCTGACAAGCAGCTTTGGACAATCTTGTCCTATAATCCTTTCCCCTTAGGCACATATTATTTTATTAAATGTTCTATTTTTAGTTTCCCCCCAGTAAAAATATTAGGGGAGGGGAACCAATCAACTTTACATATAGGGATTAATTTCTGCCCAGCAGGACATCCTTCACAGCCTTTCTAGTTGCCTGCACACTCTTTTTTCTTGAAAAGCTCCAAGGATATAAGACACCACTGTACCCCTGTGCTACTTACTGTGTTGCTGATATGCTCAGACATTTAAAAAGTATTCCCCAATGTTTAATTTTAACACACATCTCAGAATTAGAACCTATGGCTTGTTGTCCTACCCTCAGTGAATACAGCGAACTTCCTTCCCTCCTTTCTTCCCTTTCTTTAAATTTCTAAAAATCAAAAATTAATCTGTTTTTGTTAACCCACTTTCTTCCACCATTCCCCATAAGATTTTCTGCTTAGGCCCAGCTCTCCTTTGTAATTTTTCCAGCAGGATTTACATCAGAGTAAGCAAGCATAGGATTGCACTGAAAATGTTCAAGTGAGGATTTTGTTGTACATCAATAATTTGCAAGTCAGAATTGAGGAAGACCCCCCCACACACCTTTGGATGTTCTTCCAATGATTTGAATGAATGAATGAAATGTCTGTCTGTCTGTCTGTCTGTCTGTGTTCATCTTTCTATATAAAGATGTGTTGGCTTCACTTACTAAAGAAGATATCAGAATCTTTAAGGTTCTCCTTAACCTTTAAGGTTAAGGAAATCCTTAACCTTTAAGGTTAAGTCCAACCCTGGTCAAAAGTAATAATTGGTTTTATCATAAAATCATAGAGTTGGAAGGGACCCCAAGGGTCATGAGGGATTAGATATTCCAGGATAGAATTGAGGATACATTTATCAATGTGTATCCTTGAACACATCTCACTGAAAGTACTGAAGTGAGTGTAGGTAGTACCTGCCTGGGGATGCATATCTGGCTTACGCCTGAAGTTCTTAATTTAGTTGGTGATATGTATGTGGGTGCCAGTTGTGGATGAGTGCTCACGGGAAGGGCAGATCCTGAAGCTGAGGCTCAAATACTTTGGCCACCTCATAAGAAGAGAAGACTCCCTGGAAAAAACTCTGGTGTTTGGTAAGATTGAGGGCACAAGGAGAAGGGGACTACAGAGGATGAGATGGTTGGACAGTGTTATAGAAGCGACCAACAAGAATTTGACGAAACTCGGGGAGGCAGTAGAAGACAGGAGTGCCTGGCATGCTCTGGTCCATGGGGTCACAAAGAGTTGGACACGACTAATTGACTAAACAACAACAATGTATGTGGAAGTCTTTTTCCACATGAGAGGAGGAGGCGTACAGTAAAATCACTCAAAAAAATCCGCATCTAACAAATTAAAATACTCTTGTATAACATTCACGAATCCTCGTGGCATGTTGCAGAAACCTGGCTACTATCTCCATCTGCATAAACATTAGGAAGTCTACCTTACATTCATCTGACTGCCATGCCCTGCTACCAACCAACTGCTTGATGAACTTAGATTGAATTGTCTGATACAAGGGGCAGTGCAATAGAACCTGCATGACTGATTCTATAGGATTCTGTTCACAGGGGCATAGTCTCTCTGCAAGTGGTATTTTATGGAATCTCTTCTGCAGTACTGCCAATGGCAGCAAATTCAGTCTCACTAGCACGTACGCCTTGGCATTTTCCTGGATGTCTTTTTTATGTTTTATTGGTTTTAAAAACAAAACAACACAAAACAATCAACAAAAACAATCCAAAATCGATACTTATTACCAAAAAAAAAATTAGATTCATACATAACTAATTCCATCATGATTTCCAATCCCCCCATTGTGGTTCCTAAATTACATTTTTGACTACTCACTTAACTTTCTCTCTCCTAAGTTGTTTTGGTTGTATTGGTTTTGTAAAATTCTCTTATTTCATTCAAAAGTCAATCCAGGCCTGTCAAAGAATTTAGATTTTTACATTGTTCTTTTAGGTGTACTCTGTAAATGTCCCACTCTCTGTTAAATATTTGGCCTGTATAATCTCTGAATCTTGCTGTCAATCTTGCTAATTCTGCATATTCTAACGTTTTGTTCTGCCAATCCAATTCAGAGGGAATGGAGTCTCCTTTCCTGAATGTCAGAGGACCTTAGTTTATAAAAAGGTTGCTAATCCAGTGGAGGTTGCCACCTGCAGAAATGGATTTGCCTCCCCCCTCTTCCATGAACAGGAGATTCCATGAGTTCAAAACCACTCATGGGCCATCTAGAACCATCCCAATTTGTGTGGATTTCCTCATCCGGGCAGAAGCTCAGTACCCATAATCATGTAGACCAAGATAATTTAGCCCTGTTCCGGCAAACTACTCACACCTTCTGTTGAAGTGTAAGCTGTGGAATGGGGCTTTGCCAGCTAGTTCTGCCCCTAATATCACAAAATCTGGCTGGCCCGGACTCTGCTATCTGTGCACAGTTGGGGCCAGGCAGAGTATGTGTGATCAGGGGTAGGCCTCGCTGGTTAAGCCCCATTAATGAAGTGAGTAGTTCATCAGAATGAGGCTTCCAGTTACAGTACTGGAAATGTCTGACATCTTCCCCATGAAATTTAAAGAAACAACAGCATTAATTCTGCTTCGTAAGAGTGGCAGAGGTGGATTTAGGGGAGCACAACCAGTTCAAAGGGGTGCTGAATTTTGGTGTTGCACAGGGTGCCACTGAAATTTGAAACCCCAAGATGCACCACTGATTTTGGCCTTCATTCCCACATGGGAAAAAGCAAAATGGGGACACATTGTTGAGCTGTGGGAATTGCAAAGCAGCCTCACATTAGAAGAAGGGAATTTGCTGTCCAAATCCAGGGCAATTTTCATGTACACATGTTGTCAACAATTATCAGATTAAGGAAAAGGGAAAGAGGGATTATCCGTTTTAGCAGGAAAGTCTCAGTGCTTGCAAACTGCAAGAGGCATTTATCAATATATAAAGTGGGCATAATAGATTGACATACCAAAGTGATCTGAAATTTAATCCTTGGGTTGATCTAGCCAAAAGGAACAGAATCAGCCATATATTTTGCCCACAGAAACATTTCACTTAAATGCTGTTTCTCGATGGCGAAATAAACAACCACCACATTTAAAGGTTTTAAATCAAAATGATTTTTTTAATCATTTTAATAAATATATATCAAGGAAAAAAACTCACTTTACTACAACACCACTTAGTATACAAGTACCTAAATATCTAAGCTTAAAACATCAGATGTTTGACATATACTAGAAAAGAACAGATTTTTCTATTCTCAACTGAATATAAACACAAGAAAAATCAGCAATTAAAAAAATGGTCCATGTGGACAAATGACTAAATGATCCTACTCATACACTGTATGAATGAGACCTATATTTAATATTGATAGCAATTTTTAAAAATGCTTTTGTCTTGGAGAAATAAGGTAGGATAATTTTTAAAAAAAATATTAGAATTGATCATCCTTGCAAATTTCTTACTTTTGGCATAGATAAAGGTTATATTTAATTCTCTGCAGAATTTTGTCTTTGTATTTCCAAGAAATACACCCAAGAAAGGTAGAAATATCTTCAACACAATCATACCTTATGCAAATGACAAGCTGTTAACGATGACAACAGAATGTGTTGGTCTACTGTGCAATCTCACCTAGGTGTTTTAAAAAGAATGCAGGAGGGTGGGTGGAGCAGAACAAAGGAAAACACTGAAATCCGTAATGAAGTTGTCCCTGGTCAAGGACTTGGTTCTTCATGGCTGGCTCCTAAGATGTTGAGCTTCCTGCTTTGCATCCCTTCCCAGCTATTGGAGTGTCCCTCACCTGCCCCATCTGCTTGCTTGTGTAGTTCTATGACTAGTCCCATGTTCCCAGATTTGGAACCCCTGTTAAAATCCACCCATATTATCCTCCTTCCCCTGCTCAGCTCTGGCTTGCAGCAGATGTGGAAGCATAACAGCTTGGCTAACCTGGTGGCCCATGGGTGTCACAAACAGACAAGGGCACTGCAAGGTCACCCACTGCACTGCCCACTCACATTCCTGAATCCTACATATTTCAAATTGGTTTAAAATCCCTATCACATTTTCAGCTTTGTCCCTACAGTGAGCTCCCAGTTCCATTGTTAAAAGAAAACAAGGGGAAATTCTCACTGGTTGCTAGTTGCAGGTACCTAGGCCACCACCATACAGATAATCCCTGGGATCTATTTTGAGTAGCTACAATGGACCTTCCATATCTGCAATGAGGTCGGATGGTTCTCAGGTCAAACCTGAGCATAGGAAGTGCCTTATACCATGCCAGACACTGTATCCACCTTGCCAAATATTGTATGCTCTGGCTGGCAGCAGCCCTCTGGCAGAAGTCCTTCCCCTCACATCCTGGCTGAGAACTGCATCAAAAGTGTGCCCATAGGGGAACAGGAGCTGCTGAATAGTTAGTTAGCCTCACTTGGCCCTTTGTCTGCAACCTGTAGACTGTAGGGTGAGGAATGAGAGATTTGAGAGATACTATGGAAGTCACTTTCCAATGACCTATTTATTGTGACTTCATCCCAATTTGTTTACGGGTAGGTTAGACGTTTTCCAGCACATTTCCCCATCACTTTCCATATCACAAAAAGTCTGAATTTGCATGTGGGGGATTTGCAGGTTAAATCAACATCACAACCTGAATTTGCTGGTACATGATTGAATCCCACTTGAAAATAGCACAATCTGGAAGTGCCCATAGTTATTTGAATAATCCATGTGGCTATTGCACTGGGAATAAAAAACAGAGGTTTAAGGGAACAGCAAACAGGCCTTGAAGATCAAACACCCCCCTCTTTCTTTTGTGTGGGGTGTGTGGCGGGAGGTTACAATTGAAAACACCTTGCTGATAATTTGGAATTCTGTGGTGACTGAAACATAGATTAAGTCTCAGCTAAAGGAAGCTCTTCATTTGCCCCTAAACAAAAACAAGGGCAAGATTCAGTCAAAGTTAAGCGTTGTGCTAAAATTAAGATTGCTCTTAATTCAGGTCTTGCTCTCCTGTGGGGAGGATAAATGTAAAGAGTTGAGTGTTTTTCCCCCCATCTGGTTGGTTGGTTCTTTCAGCAATCAAAATATCTTGGCGATTTCAGTGGGGCAAAATTCATGGTGTGCCTAACCCTCCCCCTGTTACGTGTGGGATTCAAACAGGCTGAACTTCAGCCAGATCCTGCTCAAAATGTGAGTTTTAAATTGAAGACACCTGAAAATGAACAAAATGTGCTTCTTACAATTGAAGATTATCCCCCCTGTTTCTCCAAGATAATCTTTAAAAAATAAAAATAAAACCCTTACATTCATTTCAGATAAAATCTTATATCACCACATCATTTAGTAACATTGTGCTTTTCTTCCCCAAAATAAAAAAACCCTAAAGTTATATGAAACCCCAGTACATGCTCTTTACAATTTTAAAGAGAGAAAATGATGTGAAACAGAATAAAGTATAAAGCATGCCACTGGTTCATGAACTTCATTATACCAGGAAAAAAAAGGGAAAAATCACAGCAACAGACAGTTGCCATAGAAATGTTCAAGCAGCTAATGCTTGTTTACAAGAGACATCTCTCTATTGTTTCTTCTTCTTCTTCAATCCTTCCTAACTATGGCAAATCAAAAAGCAATTGAGCAAAAACGAAGAATAGATGCATTTGAATAGGAAATCAAACACAGTATTTCAAAGGATACAGGTTTCTAATAATATTTGATCCACCCTGTTATTATTATTTTATTTCCTGTTTAGGTTACATCCCTGCTGAAGCTGTTTTTGTTTTCGTTTGTTTGTTTGTTTTTTAAAAAACAACAACAACTTAATTTTCACCCTGGAAAAATTAAGATTAAAAAGTAAGGCACCAAAGAAATTCTGCCCTTTATAGCAACAAACCACCATAAGGCTCACTCATTCTTGCAGCTTAGCTGAAAACTGTGCATGTGCTGGAACTGTTTGCTTCTGATTAAGATTCCATAAAAGGTCTTATTGCAACCAGTTGGGTCAGTTGAACCAGACACATAAATACATCTGAATGGTATCAATACTAGATAACGATATGGGTGTTTTCCTCTTCAACTCTCCCTAGTCTTTCTCACGGCCATTATTCTTGGGCAAGAAGTAGACCTCCCCCTTTGCTGGTAATAATTTCTTTATCAGACATATAATTAATTGATACGCACAAAGGAGATTCCTCTTAATACATGTCAGACTCCCCAGGGGACTAGGTGAAAAGGGTTGTGTGTTTTCTCCGTCTGGTTTATTGGTTTTCCTCAGCGACAAAAGCTAAAATACACATTGCAATTCAACTGAGCTCTTTATGAAGATTCCATATATGTATCAATAGCTCTGCGATGCAGACCATACATACATACACTCCAACGCACTCTGCTGCCAAGTCTTTTAAACTATCCATGAAGCTTGTGATATGATTGTATTGGCTGTATAAAACTATCAGAAAAATTCATCCGGAATGAAATATTGTTCGATAAATTCAACATGCTTGTGCGTGCTTTAGAACTGCAGTTATTAGGAAGGTGGTTCATATTTTACTTCCTTTACTGCAACATATTTTGCCACCTGGTAAGCATTCCCTTTTTCGTAAGGATTTCTTCCAAGATTCGTTCATGTTGCTCTTGTCAGCACGCCCCGTCTCCAAATAATCATAACATTTGCTTTTACATGCAATGCCATGGTCGCTTTTCATAGGCTCCCAATCTGAGGCACGGTCTCGTTCTATATCGTGGCTTCCTTTCTCATTGGTTAATACGGTCTTGTCCTGGTTCCCATGCAGCCCAGCATTAGTAATGAAAATTTCATTGATGTGTATCTGATCATCGCTCCGGTAAACTGGGGTGCTGCCAACACCCCAGGAACAACTTGGCATAGATATCGAAGAGGAGGAGGAGGAGGAAGAGGAGGAGGAGGAAGAGGAGGAGGAGGAAGAAGAAGAAGAGGAATTTCCCATTGCAGAATTAGCAGACAATGGCAAACTTAAATAGTGGCTGCTGCATTCTTGGTAAAAACAGCAGGTGTGGATCTTTTCGCAGTCCTCCCTTGCCATCCGAAGGCGTTTTCTATAAGGACAGTCATGAGAAACAAACCACTCCTGGGCAGAGGCCCCCCCAAAGGAGCAAGCAGGGAAGCACCAGTTGTTTTGCATGATAATTTCCCCATGAATTCTCTTCATTAAATTGTTTATGAGGACGGATCTCCTTAAGTAGACTTCGGGGTCGTCAATGTACTTCAGTTTTTCCAAAGACATGTAAAGGATATGCGCCCGCTCCTCAAAGACGGATATCGTCTACAGATGAAAGAGAGAGGGGATAACAACAACAAATTATTAATATTCTGTTGGGAGCCGCCCAGAGTGGCTGGGGAAACCCAGCCAGATCAGTGGGGTATAAATAAATTATTATTATTATTATTATTATTATTATTATTATTATTAAGATGGGTGTAATGCAGGTCAGCTGAAACATGTTGTTGAGATTCTACCTGTCTGACCATCATTTAACACTTAGGGCAGTCATATTTATTTTAAGACAGGGGTGCCCAAACTTTTTTCAAAGAGGGCCAGATTTAATGAAGTGAACATGCATGAGGGCCGACCATAGTTATTGACCTTTTTTTTAGGATTAAAGTTTTACAATTTTACCCCAAAGTTGTTGAGTCTTTTTTTACAAATTTACCCCAAAGTTGTTGAGCTTCTTTGAGGATTGAAGTTGTTGAGCTTTTTGGGGGATTTCCCCCCAGGAAATAAACTGCCACAGGGGCAGAGATTGCACCAGCAGACCGGATTAGGTCCCTGAAACGGACTTGGAACATGCCTGTTTTAAGACCTCTCTACCCTGCCCTCTAGCACATTCAACTCTCCCAAACCAGTACAGTAGCTGATTAGTGGGCTTGTCATTACCAAAGTGCAGCCCAGGAAAACTAGTTAGTCAATAGCCAAGATCTGAAGGAATCGAGACCATATAGTCCCAGAAGAAGGGCTGTAGCCTAATGGTAGAGGATCTCTTTTGCATGCAGAAGGTCCCAGGTTCAATCCCAGGCATCTCCAGGTAGCACTGGGGAAAGACTTCTGTCTGAAACCCTGGACAGCTGCTGCTGGGCAGTGTACTGAGCTGGATGAACCAACAGTCTGAATTATAATAAGGCAGCTTCCTATGTTCCTGTGTTCCGGTGCTGGGATATTGACATTTTTCAATGTTAGTTCAGCTGTGAGGAATCTTCTTGAGCCAAACTGTGTCCTTGTGGAGAATAGTGTATATGCAGAAAGGGGAAAAACTGAAACAAACCAAAAATTATCTGTACTTTTGAGCAGTACCATACTTCCTCCAACAATCGTTAGCTTCCATGGCAGGGAAAAAATATTTCTAATGAAGAAATGACTCAAATGAGATTTGCAGGAACGTGAATTAACCAGAGGGTTAATTTAACCAGAGATGTTTTTATCTGGAAAAAAGCTTCTTTCCTTATAATACACAGGCTAATTTCTAATACACAGGCTAATTCCATATCCATAACAGACTCTCAAGAGACTCTCCTTCTTGGAGTTTTTTAAGCAGAGGTTAAGCAGAGGCTGTCTGTTGTGTATGGTCTAGTTCAGATTCCTGCATTGCAGAGGGCTGAACTAACTGGTCCTTGGGGTCCCACCCAGCACTACAATTCTGATACTATGAACTCAGCAACCCTTAGGTATCTATATGTTCCTATCATAAGACATAGAGCTGTCCTTCTGTTTGCCAAAGGGACAGCAATCCCGCAGGAATTCATGCTGGAAAAGTGGGAAGATTACTTTTGCCACGTTCCCCTTTTCACTGCAGTCCCTTCCCCAATGGTTTTCTAGAGGGATCCAAGAAGCATTCCAGGGAAAGGATGGTGATGGATATGCCTGGAATCTCCATTGGTGCTTCACTGAGCAGCATACCCAACCTCCTTAACCCACAAAAAACAAATTGTATTAAAAAAAGAAAGAAAAAGTAATGTGGCAACTGGTGTCAGCTGTGAGAGGCAGCATGGTGTAGTGGTTAAGAGCGGTGGACTCGTAATCTGGTGAACTGGGTTCACGTCCCTGCTCCTCCACATGCAACTGCTAGGTGACCTTAGGCTAGTCACACTTCTCTCTGAAGTCTCTCAGCCCCACTCACCTCACAGAGTGTTTGTTGTGGGGGAGGAAGGGAAAGGAGATTGTTAGCCGCTTTGAGACTCCTTCGGGTAGTGATAAAGCGGGACATCAAATCCAAAATTCTGTGACAGGTTCTGTCACTGTGCCTGTTTCCTGCTGCAACCTTCTGCCCCATCATCTGCTGCTGTTGTCTCTGGTGGTCATTAGCCCCTGCCCTGTTTTCTTCCTGTCACCTGAAGGTACACTGTCACTTCCTGTTTTGTGAAGCGGCTTCTTGCTATTTGCATAGGAGCAGAAGCAGATACAGAAAACAGGAAGTGATGTCATCTATTTCTTTATGCAGCAGGCTAGAGTGGGGAAAGCTCCAGAGAATTTCTTCAAGTTCAGAAGCCTTGGTGAAGGAAGCGTGGGCTACCAGCCCATAGATTTGCTCTTGGCACAATTGCCTCCTTTCTTCCTCTCTTGATAGATTAAGATAAACCAAAACATACGCAAATATTGTATGAGAAGAAAAGGATATTCCTCTCTGTGTCTTGTTTTTCTTGTTCCGATTTTCCCTTGTGGCCAAAGAATTTTGGCAGAGAGGAAAAATCTTTCCTATGGAGATAATAAGGCTATTTTCCAAGGGTCCATTTTTCTCATAGCCTCTCTCAAAACAATGCAGCATCCTTTCCCTTTGAGCAAAACCTTCTGTGCATCTTGACAACACTTCTGGTGCTTTAGAAACTAGTTCCAGGCTTTGCACTATCCCACTTTGAAACGGAATTCATTATTAATTTCTAACAAACGGCTATTTCTAGGGGAAATATGCAATGCAAAAAAAAGCACGCTATAAGTGAAAAAAAGATGAAGTAATTAGTTACCCTGCTTCAGAAATATTGTTTCTGAAATAAACACAGTTTTATACAAGAAGTTCATTGTATGCACTCAGTGGTGGGGTTTTTTGGTTTTTTTAAAGACTTCTCATAGTCCCTGGCTCAATTGCAGTCACTATTGCCATGACTAGAAACCAACAAATATCTGGCAGGCTGCAAAGCTTTCTGTGAAACTATCTGCTGGTCTCTGTCCAGTTCCCAGTGGAAAACTATCTGCTTTACAAAAATCACCATCACATTTGGCAACCTTACTTAGCAAAAAGGTCATGATGCACATGAAGCATAGAATCCAACATTCCCCTGGGCTTAAAGCTTAATTTTCCAGATGTCTGGGCAATATGGCAAGCTTGCAATGCTCTTATACATTAATTTGCTCTCCGTAGTATATTTTCAGTAGGCTGAAAAGAAAGATCTAAGTTGCAAGGTCTGCAAAATCGCTACCTGATCTCATGAGGAGTGGGAGTGAACAATAAATTAGGTAAGAACTGTATATCTAAACAGTGAGTATTCTGTAAAACACTGCTTTCCTAATACTGACACCTACTATGATTCAGAAACTAGAAAGTTTGATATCCACTGGGAGTGATCTTCAGGACTATTCCTTTACAGTGGCACTTTTAATTATACAGTATTCCATATTTTTTTTCATTCACTATGATGAGCTATTCTGTAAATCTGCTTTTGGGGAACAAAGTCACATGTTTTTGTTTCAGTTTTTTAGCCCATTGTCTCTCAAACATTTCATATTTCAGCTAATGCCATCAGGAACAGGAAACAGGTATATGTGGTGGTGGTTTGTTGTTTTTTTCTTGCTCTGGAGTTTTATGAGTTTGGTGAAGCAAAGCTACGTATTACATTAAAACTTCCCTTTGCAGACGTTTTGCCACAAATGGAATTTGTGGGATATAGTAACAAGGACCGCAACAACAGCAGCATTTGATACGTGTCACAATGAAAAATAGTATGTAAATGGAAAACAAAGTTGCTTTTTAATGTTATTGTGGCTATCTGAATTGCTGAGTCTTCAGCAGAGTAAAATGTAAAGCAATGGCCTGTCACAATAAATAAACACCTAACCCTTGAACAATAGCAGAAGGGGCACAACTGGATGCTATGGAAGGAGAATTATTATCATTATCAATATCAATTAAATTTGTATACCACCCTTTGTCCATAGATCTCAGGGCAGTTCGCAGCATAAAAAAGACAAAATATATACTAAAAGTCATAGAAGCTGGCTCTACTCTGATCAGTTATGGGTGAATTCTGCTCCCTCCTCAGCAGGGTCTGCAAACCCTATTCCTACTCTTCAAGAGGATTCACTGACCCTCGAGAAAAGCTTTCAAGGGGCTCAGAGCAGGACACTGGGGAGAAAGTGATGGGGAAAACCCCTTTTTGTAAACTTCCTTCCGTCTGCAATTGCTTCCTGTCCACCAATGCACAGCCATTCTAAGATGTAAACTGGCTCTCATGATTCTTACAACAACCTCTTAAGGTGGGCTCTAGTTAGGTGCAAGGAGCTGCAGCTGAAGGTTAAGGGTGTCCAATGTGTTTTTGGCTGAGTTGAGATTTAGCTTGGACATCTGGCATCTGGACATCTGGATTCAGGATCTTCCCATGCTTCCATCCCATTCCTTCCCTCACCATCAGTAAAATCTGGACCAGGCATTTCCCAGATTTATCTAAATGGGATCAGTCAGTCCTTACCCAAGATATTTTGCCCAAGTTTCATCCTACAATTTAGGCCAGGCGAAGCAGCCTACATCAGGTGGTAGATTTGGGGGCAGCATTAAATAACAGCAAATTCTCAATTGTTTTGTTGGCTATTATATATATATATATATATATATATATATATATATATATATATATTTCATGCCATTGAACAAGGTGACATTTGTATGCTTTGCCCCAGCCTCCAAAATGTCTTTGGCTACCACCATCTTTATCTGCTAGGTAATGGGGATTCAGTATTGTGGGGGAGGAAGATCATGCAATGCAGCAGAATTTGGAGTGGTAGCAGTGGTGGATTGCAAAGGTGGAAGCCAGGGACACAGCTGTTTGTTCTGTTTTACTCCTGGTTTACTCCTGTTTCCCTTGGACACCATGGGCATTTGCCATCCAGCAGATCGGGAGCAGCAAGAAGAATGCCAGGAGTGTCCCAGTGAGGGCCAACCCAGGTTTCATCTGCCTCATCCAGCATGAACCTGAGAGCATGGAAGTTTAGAGCACATGGCTGGAAGACTATTCAGATGCATTGTTCAGAGACATGGGATCATCCCACAGAGAAGTAGCTCCCTTCTGTGTACACACAAAGCTAAGTATGGAGACACTGAATGGTGACATGAAGGAGGAACCTTATTATTGAATTAATTTGTATGGATTTAATAGGTTTGCTGTACTATTGTTTAGAGATGTATGTGACTTTAATTTTTGGTATATTTTTACATGTGCTATGTTTTAATATATTGATTATTCTGATATGTTGTCTTAACAGAGGTGCTTGCTATGGACCACTTTGGGTTCTTCCCGGGAATGGGAAAATGAAATATAGGCAATAAATGAAATGAAATGCATTACAAAAAGGAAATGTGCTCCAAGACTCATTGGGTATACAGTCGTACCTCGAAAGTCGAAAAGAATCCATTCCAGAAGTCCGTTCGACTTCCAAAACATTCAGAAACCAAGGCATGGCTTCCAATTGGCTGCAGGAAGCTCCTGCAGTCAATCAGAAGCTGTGTTGGACGTTCGGGTTCCAAAGAATGTTCGCAAACTGGAACACTCCCTTCCGGAATTGCGGCGTTTGGAAGCCAAAACGTTTGACTCGCAAGGCGTTCGTCAACCAAGATACGACTGTATAAGCATTCAGGGTGTCTATATCTGATTGTTGTAAAAAAAGCAAAAGTGACAGCTATTCCATTCATCATACTAGTTGAGTGCAAGTGGAGGGAAAGCAGATACAGATATATTTAAAACAAAACAAAAAAGAAAGAAAGAAACAGGAACTGAAATATGGACGTAACCCAGGTGGAGTATTTTCAGATACAAGCAGTGGAACACAGTAGAGTCTGAAGGCACACACATGGGCTACGTCCATATTGGGTTGATTGCTAGCTGGGATCCACATGTATGTTGCATTCGGCTTCAAGGCAGATTCCTAAAGATTGCTCTCTGAAACTTACTTTAGGTGTACAGCTGCTGAGTGGGGGGTGGAAGTCCTCCTCTTCCACATATTTCCTTTTAAAGTACGTGATCTTGGATGTTGTTACAGGATTTGAAATTCCTCTGTGGTGAGATCCTGTGAGAAAATAAATAGCATGTAGCAATCTGTCTGAGGTCCCCCCACTCCAAAAAACAAAAAGTAGAAGAAAAGCCTTATCCGTTTCTTCCCCAGTGCATCAGAACTCTACTACATATTTCTTTATATGCTTATATAGCATTAACAAAACAGAAATTCAGTTTAATAATAGTTTTTGTGAGAAAATGCTGTAGGCAATGAAGGGTTTTGCTGCAAGACCGTTTAGGAAACAAGTCTGTTTATTTAAGCACCGTTGTCACATGAGCTTAAGCACCCTCTGCATACTTGACTTCAAGGAAACATTCATTCTGTCTGTTCAAGCCATTTGAAAAACTGCAACGTTCATGACTACACTCTGTAGTAGTTCGAGGAATTAGACAGGGCTGATTAAGTTTAATGCATTGGTGGCATAAGTATTAGTTGCTAAAGATTTATAAGTTTGGCTTAACTTTCTTGGAAAAGGCTGAGACAACTCTCCAAATTATTGGGAAGGGGAATTATTAATGGATGTAGTTAAGTGGGCTGCTACCTGTGAAAATTAATGCTACGTTAATCAAGAATTTGATTTTAATAACTAAAGTGCCAGAGCTTTTTTTAGTCACCCCTACCCCCAAAAAAATTCAGTTCTTAACAACAGTACACTTACATCACCCTCCTCTGGCAAGAAAAAAATGCTGGGCTCATGGGAAGACAAATCCAATTTGTAATTTATTTATCAAATAAGCATAATTTGCTGTAATAACCAACTTGGGATGGTGCCCTTTAAGCCCAATAGAAAGGAAGTTATTTGGAACAGGTAGCCAAAAATGTAATTACTTTGAGCTCTTTTGAGACCAATGGATACTGTAATCTAGCCTGGGTCACAATACTCCAATCAAACCATATGCTACCATTGAGAGTGAAATTTTAATTACTGCCTAGCACTTAATATGGCCACCTGTTTGGGGTTTATTGCATTTTCCTCCTAGTGTTAATTTCAACCTCCAATAAATGATGTGCAAGACAAACCGGGTGGCATCTAGTTTCCTTTGCAGCAGAACACCCCCAAGTCTACATGTGGCATGTTAGTTAGTGACTTAGTTAGTTAGTTAGTTAGTTAGTTTATTAAAAAAGACTGTACTGACAGTTAGCCAACAAGCTCATGCAATGGCTGCAGGCAAAATATAAAAACATTTAAGCAATCACCAGTATTGAAAACTAGCTAGTCTACAGTTACTGTTATCAATTTAGAATTTTAATCTTAACCTCTCCCCCCACCCCTGGCTTTTTCTCAAATATATTTAGAACCAGGCCTTTTTAGATAGCCAAAGAATGGCATTTCAAAGCAAAGCAGACTAGGGCTGCATACGCACCATATTATTAAAAGTGCACACACCCACACCAAGAATCCTGGAAACTATAGTATGTTAAGGGTGCTGGGAATTGTAGCTCTGTGAGGGGTAAATTACAGTTCCCAGGATCCTTTTGAGGGTGGGTGTGCTTTAGCTGTATGGTGCATATGCAGGCTCAGTGTCTCTAAACACGCTGAAGGAAACACAATTTGCCCTTCCCCATCTATAGTTACTTGTAAGTAAGGCCTAGCAGAGTGTTTCTCAAACTTGAGTCTCTAGCTGTTGTTGGACTACAGCTCCCATCATCCCTAACCTGCTAGCTAGGGATGATGGGAGTCGTAGTCCAACAACAGTTGGAGACTCAAGTTTGAGAAATACTAGCCTAGCGTATCCAAGTTTAGATGATCATCTAAACCATGGCTAAGTGATCAGGAACGATCTCTTTGGGTAATTTTGGGCTCATGCACTCCCCTCTCCTTGCAACCTTCTTTGTATTCAAGAGGTGGTGCCTTAAAAGCTTCCAATTTTATTTCATAACTATCCACAGCTCCACATGTACATCAACATCTGGGGAGTTTTAATTTTAAGCAGAATTATTCAACAAAACTGGATCTGTCCGGCCCTGATTTGTTTTAAGTAACTTTGGCTAGAATAAACCACAATTCCACAAGCAGTTCCATACTTCTCTTGTTGTGTGCATAAGAATAGAAAGAGAGGGGATTATCTAGACCAACTTCTCATCTAGACCAACTTCTGACAACTGGATGGGGCTGGGGGGGGTTGTAGTCCAAAACATCTGGAGGGCACCAGGTTAGCAAAGGCTGGTCTAGACCATGGGACCATGATGTATTCAAATCTTCCTATAAATCATAGCGTTGTCCCTGAAATCCACAAAGTTTTGTCCTGAACTCAGATTGCAGATAGGATGTTGTGGAAACCTAGGGCCTACATGTTACATGTTATATTAATTGTGCAGCTTGCAGGCATATGGGGGGTGGCAATTTAATCCTAGGTATGTAGGAGCAGGGACTGGATTTCCATGTGCATCAATGGAAACTTTTTTCTATGTCTTTTTGCAGTGAAGGGATTTTCCCTCCTCCAGGAGTGCACTTGGGGAGAAAAAGGTTAGACCTCCCCTGCCCTGTGCACTGCAGCCTCAGTGGAAATCTCCCACAAGCCATGCCTAGGTCTACATTTTAAAATAATATATATTGACAGCCACCCAATTGACATAATGTGTAAGGCCTTCAGCGGTGTGGAAAGGATACTCTGTGTGCACTAAGAGACTGCAAATACAGAAGACTGGTTCTCAGATGCATGATGAGGTAGTAAAATCATCTCTAGACCATATCACTTCAGGCTGCAGGTAGGACCTCTTGTGATTAAGTTCATGTCCATTCACCACTCCCTGGGGCCAAAAAATAAAGTCCTACCAAAAAGAGGCATGTCAGGGAGAGCAATGACCTACAGTTGATCTGAATGGCATCCCAGATTATCTACCTGGAGTCTCTCTCTCTCTCTCTCTCTCTCTCTGTGTGTGTGTGTGTGTGTGTGTGTTACCTTGTATAGAGGAACATCAATCATGTTAATTCCTACCCCTAGCCTGAAGTAGCATCATCTAGAGACAGATTTGTCGCTTCATCTTCTCTCTGTGAGGACTATGCCCCAAAGACACTCTTTTGTCTTTATTATTCCCTCTTATGCTCTGGGACTCCTCTGTACCACCAAAAGCAAGCTCTGGGATTTGGTGAGTCTCTTTGATTTTTTCTTTTCTTTTCAAAGCCAGCCACTGCAAAGCATCTATTTCCTCTGGTTTGAGTCAGGGCACCTTCAGTCTTTGTCCCACACTAATCTCCCGCACCGGAGGGGCTCAGAGTGAGATCTTAACACCTGCAAAAGTGCATTGGAGCAGGTGGTGCAAAACTAGCCTCCCCAGATAACTAAAATGCTAATCCTTTAAGGCAGTTCTAAGTGGCCGCAAAAGATTCCTGCACAAATGCCTTTGCCCTGACACTTCTCCTTACAGAGCAGAGCGGCAGGAGCAGCCCTGATAACTGAACAAAGCCTTCAAGTGCAGAGATAGAGTCCTTCTTGTGTACCAGAGAACAACAACAATGGGAGGTTCTTATCTTCAGACCTGGCCACCAGCTTTCCAGGAACATCTTGTTTGCCCCTGTTGGAAAGAGGATACTGGACAAGGTGGGCATTTAGACCCTTATTCAGCACAGGATTCACTGGGTGACCTTGAGCCCTCAGTCCCTCCCTGACCTACCTCGAGGGGTTGTTCTGGGGATAAGACGGCGCGCGCTCAGGGGGGAGGCCATATATTGCCCACATCTCTTTCGTGTAAGCATCCAAGGATGACTACTGACTTGGATGCTTACTGACTTAACACACACGCCACTGTTGTGATTTTGGAGAAAGAAGCCGGAGATGGTGGTTTGATGCTGATGCAACCGACTGCAAGCCCTGAGCCACCTCCTTACCTGGCGCCGGGGGCTGCCCAGTCGCTGCCCTGCTGTCGTTGCTCGGCGGCGGCGGCGGGAGCAGCGGCTGCGCTTGGCCCGGGTTGCTGCTGCTGCTGCTGCTGCTGCTGGCGGTGGCGGCGGCCGCATCCGAGGCGGGGCTGCTCTTGCTGCAACAGCGCGACTCCCACAGCGGCTGGAACTCGGCGGCTCCTTCGGAGGAGACAATGGGCTCGCAGAAGCTGCTCAGGGGCAGCACCAGAGTCATCGCGGCGCCTCCGATCTGCAAGTGGAGACAAAGGTAGAGCGCGACCCGTCAGGTCAGGCAGGCAGGCAAGCAGCCGCCCGCCCCTTGCCCTGCCCTGCCCTGCCTTGCCCGAGCGGCGGCAGCGGCCATTGCGTGCCTGCGCCCCGCAGTCTGCCTGGCATCTGCCGCTGCCACCGAGGGATCCTCTCTCTCTCTCTCCACCCCAGCCTCTTGCTTTGCCTTTTCTCACCCAGGTTTTGCCCTCTCGCACTCACGCGCTCCAGGTTTCACGCGCTCGGGAGCATTCCCCCTTCGCCTTCCTCGTCTTCGCTTGGCACGGATTCTGGCTCACACTCCCAGCTGCCCTGGGACCACACACGCTCCTGCTGAAGGAGCGCGCGCGGGGGGGGCACCAGAGCCAAGAGCTGACCTTCTCCGCGCGCCCCTCTCCAAACGCACTTGCTTGGAAGTAAGTGCCGCGGATTCCGGGGGCCCTTACTTCCAGGTAAGTGAGCTCGGAGCACCGCCGCAGCCCCTTCCACTCGGAAAGGCAAGTCTTCTCCCCACCCCACCCCTCCCCGCCGCCTCTTGCTTGCTTGCTGACTGGCTGCCCCCCAGATCCCTTCGCCGCTGCTCTCTGCGCTCCGGCTCAGCGGCGATCCCCTCTTCCTTTCCCGAAAGAAGAAAGTGCCAACAAACCGATCCAAGGGATGCTCGCAGATTGCCAGACGATCACTTTATTCTCTCCGCATACTCTGCCGGTCTCACTCGCGCAAACACAGCGACCTCGCCAACGACATTGCCTGCATGTGTTTCTTATGTGTGGCAGGCAAGCAGGCAGGCAGGCTTTTCTTTCCCCCCCCTTCCTTTATTTCCCCCCCCCTTTCTTTCCCCACTTCTCCTACTCCTCCTCCCTTCTTTTTTCCTTCCCCAAGCGAAACAGAGCGAGACTCTTAGGTAGTTGTTTCCACCAGCCCCGATTGGGCTTAACTGGATCTGCCTCCAGTCAAAACACGGAGATTAAGACAGAAAATTGGCTCCGGTTTCAAGCCGTGAGTTGCAGTCCCACAGGAGCCAAGCACAACATCAGTGGAGCAAGTAGAATATTAAACAGGAGCAGGGACTCCGGGGCCGGAGCCAGGCTGTGTGAGCTCTCCATCCAGTCCCAAAGCAGCGAGAGAGCGAAAGAGGGGAAGAGAACTTTCTGAAAGAGGCAGGCAAACCGCATCACAATGCACTTTCTACACTAATTCACCTACTCTTTGGCACAAAAGCCAGGCGCCTCCCCCATCTTCCCCGGCGCTCTCCTAGAAACAAGAATTTTTGTTTTCTTTCCATATATTTCTCAAGTCAGGACCGCTGCAGGAAGACAACAGGGTCCTCCAAATTCGGGGGGGGGTGGGTGGGAGAGGCAGAAGTTGGAAAGGGAATGGATAGCCAGCAGCATGTTACAAATTAAAGTCTGTCTGGACAAGATTGATGAAGCAGGAGGTCAAGACTTAGAACAATAAGAAACAAAAAATATTCGAGACTGGTTGGAGAAGCCCCTTGCTGTTTCAACTGAGTGAGAGGAGGAATTGCAGTTGCACATAGCGCTGGGGCCAAAAGCGAAGGACCACCTTTTTGAAATTCCCAGATACAAATGGTTAACAGATCAAGCCTTGCAATATTTCCACCGGCTTCTGGATGAAAAATGTGGAAAGGCTACTTAAGTGCTCCGGATTTAGCAGCGGGGCTCCTTAACCTATTCTGTTGTCTAGCAGACTGCAAAATTGTCATTTATCCATGGATTCTGTTGCATAACTCTGCATTTGGAAGCTATGCGTCTGAAATATATTCCTTTCTTTCTTAGGGAAGTCCATCCTCACTCTAACTACCCCCAGCAAATTAGTCACAGTTAAGCCCCTTTGAAATTGATGGGGCTTAAGCTACTCACCACTAACTTGATCCACACTGATTTCAATAGAACTTAAGTATCACTAAATTTCCTGCAAGAGAGATCCACATTTTGGGGGGTTTACTATTTGTCTTACGTAAATTTTAAATAAAGTCATACAAGGGAGCCAATTCATTAATAGTGAAAACAGAGGCAACCACATTTGAAGCTGCTGTATCTCCCTCACTGAACCAATTATTGCTATGTGACCCCATCTGTGAAGTGGCTAGATCCACACACACTCTCTAAAACACTGCTGTTGAATGCAAAGGTTTTTCATGATGGTCAGTCTTCAAAGCTGACACTGACAATATAAAAGCAGTATAGCTTTTCAAACACAAACCACAGAATCGCAGAATTGTAGAGTTGGAAGGGACCATGAGGATCATTTAGTCCAACCCCATGGCAATGCAGGAATCTTTCACCCAATGTGAGGCTTGAACTCACAACCCCGAGATTAAGAGTCTCATGCTCTACCGACTGAGCTATAGTGAACATCATAAAGAAGAGTGGAGTCCAGATGGATAAATGCATAGAGACCTATTTTACTTCATACATGCGTTGCTCTTGCTGCATCAGGCCTAATAAAGATCTTATGCCTTGCATTACAGCTCTCTAGCACAAAGGCCATGAATGGCGCTGTGGTCTAAACCACTGAGGCTCTTGGGCTTGCTGATCGTAAGGTCAGCAGTTCAAATCCAAGTGACGGGCTGCCAACCTAGCAGTTTGAAAGCATACCAGCACAAGTGGATAAATAGGTACCGCTGCAGCGGGAAGGTAAATTGTGTTTCCATGTGCTCTGGCACTCATCACGGTGCTCCGTGCACCAGAAGCGGTTCAGTCATGCTGGCCACATGACCCAGAAAAGCTGTCCCTTGGCCTGAAAGTAGAGGTGAGCGCTACATTCCATAGTTGAATTTGACTGGACTTAACCATCCAGGGGTCCTTTTTTACCTCTCAAGCACACACATTTTGTAGGCAACACACTGAGATTCCATTCCTCTAAATTGTTTGATTGCTTCTGTAACTTGGCACACTCCTACTGAATTCAATGGGACTTCTTCCCAGTAAATGTGCATGGTACTGCAGCCTTAGTGAGGAGGTGAAAGAGAAATATTATGGAAGATTGCAAAAGGTGGTATTCAGAAATACCGGGGGTGGGTGTTACAATAACTTTTTGCATACAGTAGCTTTTTGCACACATAGATTAATCCAAAACAGTGGAGAGTTTCAGAATCTATACATGTTAGAACACCTCTGCTGCTCCAATGCTTCCGGCTTTTTAGTTCTTTGCTAAGTAAACACTGAGAAATCTTCAGTGCCAAACTTTGCTCAATTCGTTACATTTATCTTCGTTGTGATTTTTTTGCAGTCTGCAGATTGTTGTCACATATCAATTTGCTGTTGTGCACACTGTCCCACTTTATCATACTAACTTACACAGAGTGCCATGTTGTTCCTAAGGAAGAGTTTTTAGAAGCCAGCATGAACTACTTAAATTTCTACTAGGTAGAAAATTCACATCGCAATCAATGCATGCTCACTCATAAGCAAGCAAGGCCTTTTCATTTCACTGGGACTTCCTCCCAATTAAGGGTACAGAATGTTGTGCATCCAAGAAACCAATTCTTATTTCCAGGAGTCTACAACCACTACTGATTTCACACACAAAAACCACCAGAAAATATTATTTTAATTGCCCACTGCTAAAGGCTGCTGCATAAACAAATGCAAAAGATTGAGCACTAGATTCCCAGGGTAACTCCACACGTTTTTCTAACCTGTCTTCTGAGCAGTGAAACAGCAGCAGCTCCTTGCATGGCTGATTAGCAAAACCCCCAACTTAACATACTTCAGTTGCACTGCACAAATTCTCTTGCTTTGTTTGGCTAGTGCCAGAAAGGGAGAGGTCCCAGAGACTGTCCATAGATCAGCTATTCCGAAAAGCTTTTCAGCAACAAGTGCTGGCGTGCCAAACCAGTGAGCAGAACCTGATCTTAGATCCTTATGTCAAACTTACCTAAAAATAAGCCTGCAAGGGGTTTTGCCCAGGAAACATGGCAGAGCTTGAAGGCCCAGTCCCATTTGCAAATACATTGCAATTTTGGAAGCGCAAGTCACTGCTTGCGCCATTCAAGTTACCAAGGTGTCATGGAATCAGAAGGCAACCTGAACCACCATATTGCAACACATTTAATACATTATTGCAAATAAGTCTTCTCAAGACTGTGCCTGGTGGATCAAATTCTATATTTATGAAATAATTGTAGTAAAGTGTCATAATTTGTTAAACCCCACACGGAACCCTTCTGGATCAGATGAAGAGCTTACTTGGTCCAGGACTAGGTTGCCACAATGGTCCACCAGGTATTTCCAGGAAGCAGAATCTAAACTAAGAAATTGACCAGATTATAGAATCATAGAGTTGGAAGGTATCATGGGGGTCATGTAGACCAACCCCTGCAATGCAGGAATATTTCTGCTCAACTTGAGGCTCAAACCCACGACCCTCAAATTAAGAGTCTCACGCTCTACCAACTAAGCTATAGAGATGTTTTTCAGCCATAAGATTCACAGTAATTATTATATACTGCCAAAACATCTATTATTATGATTAAGTGTATTTGAACACAGCACCTGTATACTGAGAAAGTAAAGGGGTGCATTGAAAGATACTGTTGGGCAACTGGGGTGCAGCTTTTTCCTCTTAGCCATGCCTAGGGACAATCACAGTCCACATACTTTGTTCTGTAGAATTCAGCAGACACCTTTGAAGACTAAGCCAATCCCTTCATCTGCCAATCAGTGACCAACATTCTGTCTCTTGTTGGGATGCAGCATGGGATTAAATTTTAGGCTTTTAGGCATGTGACAAAGAAAGAGAATGATGGAAGCTACTTATTGCTCCTAAAGATTTCCATTAGTGTGTCATATAGAAAGTTGTTATAAGACATCAGCTCCATAGTTCTTGACATTTAGTTATTTACTGGTAATGCACCGCTATCCTTATTTGTAATGAAGGGGTGGGAAGTCAGTGCACTACATATTTTCTGCAAAGAAGTGTAACATAAAGCCTTGATTTGTGGCTAGATCCAGGCTTCAAAATCTGTTTGCAAAGCTTTGTGTGGTATGGAAACCAGACCATTTTTATTTTTTTATTTGTTATTAAATCCAGCTCTTAATCCTTAGGCTACCACAGATTTTCCCTGTTGCCAGCCGAATGCATGCATTAAGAGAACACCCTGAGGCATCCAAAGCAGCCTGAAGGTTAAAATGTCAGACTCCTCTTGCATTTATGCAGCTCTGCTCTGTAAGAGGCTACTATGCAGTGCTATACTGTTCCATTTGCTCACTATTCCTTCAGCAACTACTCCATTTTCACTCACTATTCCTTTGGAGTCATTATGATGCTAATGAGAGAACTGTAATGATGCCATTCACAATGTCAATGAAAAAGGGTCTTTATGCATTTCCAGAATGCCACTAAAACAGAAGTTAAATTTAAAATGCTTGTTACAATAATGCTGCAAATCTGACTAAAATCCCTAAAGGCCAAAAAGTAAAGGTGGAAGCAATGCTTGGTATTGGCAGGGCCTCATTAGTTACTCTATATTCTGTGGAAACAGCATGTGGTATTGCTAATTCTGAAACTCTTTGATTTCTTAGTTGTATGAAGCCATTATGCTTACCTGTGCTTATAAGAAAATGCAATGAGATTTACATAGCTGGATGGAAGAATATTTATTTGTAACAGTTTGACAGTTCTAGCCATTAATTTATTTTATTTTAAATTTATAATCTTCCTCCCAGCCCACCAGGACCCTAAAGCCAGCTGCAGACTCAAATGCATTAAACTATGATCAACAAAACATAATGGTGATGCATCATTTTATTAGGTGACATACAGTTGGGTACCATGTGAGATAGTGTCTTCACAAAATAAGAAGCTGGTGAGAGAAAGGCAGAGATGGACAGCATTCAAAACTCCCATTGTTCTAGGCGCATTTTGCGACAGGGAGTTTCATTAGCGTGAGCAGTTTCTGAGTTCTGGGCACAGTACTGTGCCTAAGATTTCAGAATAAAATTGAAGAGTGGAAGGAAAGGAGGACCTTTTTCTGCCTCTCCACTTCCAGCTACTCTCTGAAGACTGGAGAAGAGACTCTCTTAAGAATATTAGGGGGGTGGGCAGGGGACGGACTGGACCATGTGAAAAATGTACATAATATTTTAGCTGCAGTTCATTCATTTTCAGCTTTGTATTCTTGTTATTTAAAAAAGCACGCCTAGACATTCCATTGTTGCATCTGTAACCTAGGTTTAAGGTGCCATTCAGCTCCTGGCTTGAATATCTCAGTTTCTAACACTGAGGATGGATTATAACCTTACTCATCCAAGTGGCCTGGAAACGATCCACAATGTCTGGATAATTAGAAATGTGGGTTTGTGGGATTAGTCACTGAATAATCAAAGATAATTGTGCTGAATTCTGAAAACTATGTATTACTATGGATATGTCAAGAGCACCAGTGGGTGTTGTTGTTTTTTAAGCAGGGAGGGTCTTCTCAATTCATTTAGAGTTGGGGGGGTGGGTATCACATCCACACTATATATTTAAAACACATGGCTTCCCTAAGAGAATGCTGGGAACAGTAGTTTATTCCCCACAGAGCTATAATTCCAAGCATTCTTAACTACAGTTCCCTGTATTCTTTGAGAGATGCCAATTGCGTTAAGCATGTGGTGTGGATGTGACCTCTCATTTTTTGCATGTTTACAGTACACACCATGACTAATGAGGAGCACTATAAGGTACAAAACTGTGATGCTGCACAAAACGGTACATTCTGCAGCAATGGGAAAGTGTATCTATCTATGTGCCTTTGTCCATCTACATGGGGGCACTCCAGACTGCCACTTAAATTGACACAGGGCCTGTACTGAATGGATACAAACTGAAGCTAGTTACTAGTAGGTGCTTCAGCCTTCTATTTTAGGCATAAAGGAAAGGAGACAATTGTCTTGCATCACCCAGTCCACCAGACACACGCTTACACACTCTAGCACCCTGAAGACTAGCAGAATTTATTATGGCATACCGCTGTGGGTTAAACCACAGAGCCTAGGGCTTGCCAGTCAGAAGGTCAGCGGTTTGAATCCTCGCGACAGGGTGAGCTCCTGTTGCTCGGTCCCTGCTTCTGCCAACCTAGCAGTTTGAAAGCATGAAGTGCAAGTAGATAAATAGGTACTGCTCCAGTGGGAAGGTAAATGGCATTTCCATGCGCTGCTCTGGTTCGCCAGCAGCAGCTTAGTCATGCTGGCCACATGACCCAGAAGCTGTACGCTGGCTCCCTCGGCCAGTAAAGCAAGATGAGCGCCACAACCCCAGAGTCGTCCGTGACTGGACCTAACGGTCAAGGGTACCTTACTTTTACCTTGCATGTGGTAAAGTTGGCTTTTATCCAAAAAGTGTATACCGGGCATTTGCCATAATAAATCTGTTAGTCTTTAAAGTGTCACAAGAGTCCAGGGATGCTTATATCTTTCATGTTAGTTTGTTCTTGGTACCTTGATTTCCTTTTAGCAGGTACTTGAGCTCACTTTCCTGGGTTGCCATTTCTACTTGTGCACCACTGTACTATCACAACGGAAGAAGCTGTGTCTGATGTAACTATTTACAATCTGTATGAAATCTGAGAACCCTGGTATTATTATATTTCCTCCTGAATTCAGGCACTTCAGGCATGGTGTGGCATCCACTATGAATAATAAAAAGACATGATCAGTTTGGCTATTCATTGCAGGAAACTGCTTTCAGGCAAGGGTTTTACTTGATCTCACATCCAATGTATTATGCGATTCAACATGAATGTAGAATTTTGCAGTGATTTCAGAACCACACCTTCTGAGGATCTCAGTTTTTGTTTTGTTTTTTAAATCTGCCATTTATATCTTTGGAGATAGGATGAAGAACGTGGGGTCAATGCATGGTTCATTGTCAGAAGAAGCCAATGTGAGGAGGGGTAATCAGAACCACTGAAGTTCTGTGCCCCAAATCCTCTTCCCAGACACAGTCCAGAAGCCTATTCAGGAGAATTAGCAAGATCAAACTTTGCCTGTACTCCTGGCATAGATTAGCCACCAGAGAGACCAAGGCTGTTTTGATGAAGAATGTGGGCCCAAAGCCAGACTGAAATGGATCCAGATAATCAGTCTCATCTGAGTGCCTGGATTGTATGGCAACTCAAGCACATTGCCTGAGAAAAGAAGATTTGCTAACAGCCAAAAGTCACTCAAATCCTTGAGGTCCAAAGTAGGGGTATTTAGAAGTGGTCTCATCACTAATCACTTCAAGGTAGCCAGGTAACCCCCTCTTTCAAGGAGACACAAGTCATTAATTACCTCCTAGACTTAGCCAGTGATCTCTCCTGCTACATGTTAGTTAGCTGTGGTCTAAACCACTGAGCCTCTTGGGCTTTCCGATCAGAAGGTCAGCGGTTTGAATCCCCAGAACAGAGTGAGCTCCTGTTGCTCTGTCGCAGCTCCTGCCAACCTAGCAGTTCAAAAGCACGCCAGTGCAAGTAGATAAATAGGTACCACTGCGGTGGGAAGGTAAACGGCATTTCTGTGTGCTCTGGCTTCTGTCACAGTGTTCCATTGACCCGAAAGCAGTTTAGTCATTCTGGCCACATGACCCGGCCTGAAAGCAAGATGAGTGCCGCAACCCCATAGTCTCCTTTGACTGGACTTAATCGTCCAGGGGTCCTTTACCTTTTTTTACCTAGTCAGTAAGGGAAAGGTTGAGAACACAAGTGATTGGCCAAGTACCTCCCCCCCCCCCCATCTTCAGGCCTAAACAATAAATTCATCCAACAAATCAGGACTATACACTGTACTGGAGATGTCCATAGGATGGATTACAGGAAAGTAGCATCCAAGTCAAGATGAACATGAGCAACTTTTACCTTTGAAGTCACAGAGGGACCACTTACATCACTTTGCAATACAAAGTGGAAAAAGCCCTGAACCACTTGGAAAACTCAACTGGATGGCACTGCAATGGAGGCTGAAAGGTGTTGCTTCTTGGCTTTTATCATCACAACAGAACAAGCTTCAAAATGAGCTCTTACCTGTGTTTGGTCAGACTCCAGTTCAAATTTTCTGTCACTGGCATTCGAGCCACCCCCCACCCCAAACTGCTTTGTAATAAATAATAAATTGGGATGAATAAATCAGGAAGATGAACAGGCTCTGTTTGACAAGAAAGATTGCTTAGGAAAGATTGTGCCAATTGCCAGGGTCACCTCCATATCCCACAGAGAGAGTTAGGCTTTGACAGTACCAGCCATGCTAACTGGGAACTCCCTGGTGGTTTTAAGCAATTGATCTGAATCCATCAATCTCTGGGGGCAGACCCTCCTAATAGGTCTATCCATGTATAAGAGAATGGTCAGCAGGAAGTGAACTGACAATTACATCTTCCATTTTCAGATCACCAGTCTTCCTAACCAGTTGAGAACACCATGTCTAGAGTGTCACCCACAAGAAACATTAAGCCAATGACACATTAGAACAGCCCCATGGTTGTCGAGTGGCAGTAACAAAAGCATGGTAAGGGAGGGAAATAGTGGATATGAAATGTTTGTCAAATCCTTGTGTTTACAGTAGTTATAAAACAATAATTAAAAAATGCAGGTTGCCCCTCCAAGTGCATTTTGCAACAGAAATGTGTTTCATATGAGAAAGGTGGAAAATTAAAAGCTCTAGGTACAGTATTATTATGCACTAGCCCAAGTTTTAAAAAGTGAGAGGTGACTTCATTGTCTAGGCCAGCCTGAAGAAGAGCAAGCTCACCCTTTAGTTAGTTTAAAGGCAGATGGCCCAATAGGAGGTGATAAAAGAACAAAGAGATGGAGGAAATGGTAAAGTGAAAGACGAAAGAAAGCAAGGCAAATGTAGACATATGTGAAAGATAAGTTACACAGGTTCTTTAGTTCTCCCATGTCAGTGCTGATCTGACTGGCAACATAATTATTACTCAATTCATTCCTGTTAAGTACTACTCTGGAAATGTAGATAACGACTGGATTACACTTGTATTATGTTCCAAAACCAGCATGAGGGTTAAAATCTAGTTAGAACATTGAATCACCAATCTAGTTGCCAACAACTTCATGCTTCAATATCCTGGAGAAGAAGTAGAAAATATACTACTGATCTTCTAAAGAAGTCCAGTGTGTCATTGTCTTCGTTCCCCGCCCCCCCCGGCTGTTCATTTCCCCCACCCCAAAAAAAGAAATACAAACGATTCACTGGTTCCGTTGATGGTTTTAGTGCAAGAAAAAATATGAAGCCAGTGAGTGAGCTGTATGAGCATATAAACCTCTCTGGAAGAGAAGTGTTTAACACCATCTTTCGCTATTTATGAAATTATGTTACTTAATATTTTAAATTTACAAGTACTGTGCTAGCATTCATTCAGATAAAGCAGCTATGCTTCCCCCCAAAAAAAACAACAACAACAACCAAAAACACATTTCTGGCTAAATAATGTTCTATTTTGAATATATGCATATCTCAGATCCCCTACCCCCCACCTCACCCCATATATGGAACTGCATTATGAATCCAGCCAATGTTGCTTTTACCTTCAGTGTTCTCCAGGTTCAAATACAAGCCCTTACATATTTTTTTCTGGACATCAAAGGAACTGGATCTGAGGGGTCACACATGTGAAACATACACTACTACTTTTTTCATCTTATACCATAGATGCCTTGAAACTATTTTCTTGAGGCTATCATTTTGTTTCACTGAGAAAACAAATCATTCTGGGGTGTTTTTTTGTTTTCTTTTTTTCTTTTTTAAAAGAACCTGCATTTTGTGTTTCTAGTATTCCAAAGTATGGCCTCAGGATCTCATTACTACTCTTCTGGGATCCCTAGAAACAGCTGTTTTAAATAGCTTGATTTCCTGCACTTTCTTTTTAAAATGTTGGGGGGGTTAATTAAGTGATAATTAAGCAATGGGCTGAACTAATTGGCATCACTCCCATTCAGTTTTCTTACAAACTACCATTAGGAAAAGATATAACATCAATAATCATAAGAAATAGATTTGGGGTGTGTGTGTGTGTGTTTTACATCAGGAAAGAGAGACAGGGCAAGCATTAAGAAGATTGCTCTTTATAAATCACTCTAGTTTTTCAATACAACATTGGTATCTAGTATTTACTTCCTTGCTGAAGGTGGAATAGAAAAGTCACCTCTTTATGATAGTTTGGAACATGAATTAATTTACATTATGAAGATTTTTGCAAATGCATTGTATCTAGGAAGCTGGGCTCCATTTGGTTTATGGTATGGTGAGATATTAGCCAAGAGCCTGTCAGTACTTTGAGAACAGTAAGTTGCTTATAGATCTCTAAGACTGTTAACAAAGCCTCAAGTGCTGACTGCCTCACTTTAACAGCCATACTAATGGCAATGCTGATATTTTTTAGGTTCAGTATGCTCTTTTGAGTTCAGATTTTTAAAAGCATTCTGTTTACCACTTACATGTTCTTGGATTAATTTGTGACCAGATAATCCTAGATTCCCCCTGCTTCTACACTTCATGGACCCAAAGTTGCATGGATGACTAATCTTCATGTAACATTTTCACGTGGAGGTATTTCTAGCAATGTGCTTGAAGTCTATAAAAACACAGAACATTTATGTGGGAAACAGTCCTAAGATAACCTAACCTGCAAAACAACTGCATATCAAGTGGGAGAAAAGTTCTAGCCGTTATATAGTGCATCTTAAGTTTTCACATCGCTGTAATTAATACGTATTGTTATTGTGCTGGAATGGTATAAAACTTAAAGAAATTGGGTCAAGGAACTCTGAGTGGGTTGACAAAGCAAACCACTCCTCTTAACAAAGACCTCTAAAATCACAAGATGGTTCTCTTGATTCTTTAATTATTCTTTTAAAAAGAACTACCAATTAAGGTTGCCTTTCCAACTGACTCTGAACCCTAATGCAGCAGTACACAAATGTCACTGGTACAATAAATTAGATGTTTTATGGGTTAATTACATTGCCGCCTTCTCTTCTGTCCACTGAATAATGCAAACAAAACCAAAATAAGTGTTTTGAAGCAAAAAGCAAGTTGTCTTCACTGTAGCCTGTGCTACTTTCCATGAAGTTTAAGAGCTATTATTATACTTTTACAAGAATCCTTCTAAGGGAAATAAACACCAAAGGTAGGATTCCAAGGAAATGACTCACAAATATTGGCAACAGGCTTCCAAAATTGAATCCAGTCTTTGCAAAAGTCTGCAGCAGCTCACTAACCCTTCCTAGTTCAAAGTAGGCACTGCAAATGAAAATAGGAGCTGCTGAAGTGACTTTTTAATGTTCCCACTTCTGTATTCCCCACCCTCCAACTCCCCACCTCAGGGGCTTTGCTTAAGTTGCCGTTTTCAGCTCCAAGTTGGGAATTATTTTAATGATTGAGTCATTGTGGCAACCGGGGAAAATGGGGATCGTTTATCTTCCTGCGCTGAAGCACTGCAGCAAAATATTGCTGATAAACACCTCCTCAAATTGGCGAGGACGAAAGGTGGACAGGGGAGGGGGGCTCAAGTAAAAAACCAGGTAAACACCCATAACCCTTGCATAGCTGCGCATGGGATGAATTAAGAAAAGTGATGCTTCCGAGTTTTCTTCCGCTCCGAATTTATTTACACGGCACAGTATTGGAGCTCCTTGCATTAGAGGAGGGGAAAACGGGGAAGGGATCGGGCAGCTGATACAGTCCACATTTTTGCAAGTGGACCAAATGAGCTCAGCGCCTTTCGCCTCCGGTACGCTGCCTTGCTTGTTTTTCCGTCGTCTGCTTCAGAAATCCGCCTCTGAATGCAAACATCCAGCCCCTTGGCGCGTTTGCATTGGCCAGCTATTCTTCCCCCTATGGGTTTCCTGCACAAACGGCGCATTCCAGCTGCAGATTTGTACCAGACCACCATTCCCCACACCTGGCCACGACTGTTACCCACCCCCCAAACCCCATTGAAGGCTGTGGACACCCCTCCTCCCCAAGAGTTTTACCCAGCACATAAAATGGGTTCGCCTCCATACATCCCTGCTGGAGGAATTCAGTTTGTGGTATTGCTGTGTGTTCACACGTGCATCGGGGAGGCGAGATACACGTGTATCTTAATCACTGCACACAGACACACACACACACACACACACACACACACACACACACCCCTACCCCTCTAGCCATGAGAGGTTCTGCCAGCCAGTCACAGAGAGCCTGAGGGGAGCAACTCCTCGGCAGCTCTCTCTCCACCCCCCCCCCCAAGGGATCCTGCTCATTGTATCCGCCCTGGAGCATAAAGAGCCATCAGGAGGAGGATGCTTCAAGGGAGGGCTGGCGAAGGGGCGCCTTGTCATTACAACTCAAGTGGCCCGGTTATTTATAACCCCGCGGAAAGAGTCGGGAGCTTCTCCCTAATGGAGAGCTTGGCACGGCGCGCGCGCGCGCTCTGGCGAAGGAGGGAGAGAGGGCGGGAGCGGCGAGGGCAGAGGAGGAGGAGGAGAGCGGCTGGTTTCCCGCTACTTTCACCCTTCCTCAAAAGACGAGAGGTTGCCAGCTCCCGCCGCCTCCACCACCACCACCATCATCACCCCTTTCTCCCCGCCCTCACCCCCCGGACAGAAGCTGGGGAAGAGGTCGCCACGGCGCTGGCTGCAGGGAAGAGGCAGCTCGCCTCCCAAGGTGGAGACCCCACACAAACACACGCCGGTCACCTCAGTATCTGCCTCCGCCCCCCACCGGCCGCCCCACCTTCCCCTCAGGAAAAGGGCGCCAGAGCCACAGCCGCTGCGTCATGTCCCTCCTTCAGGCGGTCACTTTTGAGCCTCAGCTTATTCCTCTTCCTCAAGCTGCTTGGAGGGTCTCTCCCTCTCCCCCTTTCTCTCACACACAGCCTTCCCCGCCTCAGCTGCCTCCTCCTCCTCCTCCTCCTCCATCTCCTTCCCCCCTGTCCAAGGCAGCGCCTGAAGAGCCATCCCTGCGCTGGGAGAGAGAGCGCCAGCGCCGCCGGAGCGAAAGCGGAGTCCATCTCGGGGGCGCCCTTTTAACCCTGGGCGGCAGTAGCAGCGTCCCCCGCCGCCCCAGCCCCTTCCCCCCTCCTCGTCCTCCTCGCCAGACGCGCTTCGGGGGCCACGCCGGCCGCTTCACCCCTCGACCCAGACCGCAACACCTTCTCCTTACCCCGCGGCTCTTTGCGTGGCTTGGGAGCAGCGGCTGCGGCTGCGCTTGCCTCGCTCCAGGTCCCGCCGGCGGCCTCTCTCAGGCTTTGCCCTCAGTGCCCGCTGCTGCTCCTGAGGGTGCGAGGGCTGCCTCCTCCCTCCCGCCCTCGCTATAGTGTGTGCAGGCGGCTGTTGTGGTGGATGATAATGAAGAGAGAGAGAGAGAGAGGCTCGCTCCCAAAGCGAAGGAGCGCGTGAAACCAGTCAGTCCTGTTTCTGCACATTCATGCCCCCCTGAATGAATAGTAAAAGATTATGTGTGTGTGTGTACACGCTTATACTGTATGTTGTGTGTGCGCGCGCGCGTATATATATCTATATTATGTGCTCTCCTCAGGATGCCCCCAGGGTTAGAAGAGGAATAGGAGAGACGCGAGAGAGGCGCTGGAACTGGCTGGCTAAGCAAAGCGGGGAGAGAGAGAGAGTGTGAGGAAACCTTTCCCCGCCTCAAGAAAACCTTTAATAAAAAAATATATAATATAAAACCCTCTTTCTCTCTCTCTCTCGCCTTCCTCCGCTCCGTGTCCAGCTAAGGCGAAAGGGCAGCCACCTTTCCCTCCCCCCCTCACGCCATCCCCCCTCAGTCAGCCTCTGTCGCCCCCTTTCCCCGCTGAATGGCTCCTCCTGCCACACATGGGCTGAGGGCTTAATTTGCTCTCTCCTCAAGGAGGCCATTGTTGTTTAGGGGGAGAGCCTGGCGTTTCCCGCCCTGCCGCCCTCTCATCCTCCCCGAGCCAGCGCGCCATTGATAGGAAACAGATGAGGCGCTGCTGCGAGGCCAGGCAGGAGGAGGCCAGGTGCCGCGATCTGGAGGAGGAGGAGGAGGAGGAGAGCTCGAGGCTGCCGTTGCGTCTGCCTGTGAGGCAGCAGGAGACCTTTCAACGCCAGATGCTGAGGGAGACCCTTCATGCCCTGCTTTGTACCTCGTGGCGGCTTCCTGCACCATTGCCACGGCTCCCTGCTGGAGACTGGGCACTGGGTTAGGCGGTAGGAGAAGGACGACGCCTGGTCCAACCCAACGTGGGTCCTTTTGGTTTTCTGGCGGGAAGGCGACTAGGTAGGGCTGCATTATTATCAGAAAGCGGTCCGCCCATTATAGCAAACTAGGGTGAAGGGCAACTGGTGAAGTTCACTCTGGTTATTTATAGGGTGAACTTCACAGATTGCCTGCTGTTTAATTGCCGTCGTTGATACATGCTGCATCTCTAATGAACGCACGATGAGGCAAAATGTGCTCCGAGTCTGGGGAATCTACAGGCATTTTCCCGCAGTGTAGGTTGTGCTAATTTAAAATTCTTATCCTGCGGGCTTTGGGCAGGTTAAAACATATTTCAAGCCAAAACCGTTCCAAAAAAATATGGAAGATCAACAAATCTCCAAAATATTCGGCCCGCAAAGGAAGGTTTCACCGGGGTTTGTCACTGAACTGTTTGATTTCTGAGCTACCTTTGTTTTCTCAAGTCTAAATCATCCAGGAGTCCACAAAACAAGAAGCATGAAGCATTGCAGCTAATACAATAGTGATTATGACTCGCAGACCATTTGTTTCATTACTTTAAACCAGTGTTTCCCAAACTTGGGTCGCCAGCTGTTTTTAGACTACAGTCCCCATCATCCCTGACCACTGGTCTTGCTAGCTATGGATGATGGGAGTTGAAGTCCAAAAACAGTCGGAGACCCATTTCTGGGAAACACTGATTTAAATCAAAGGGTAAATTATATGAAAATTGTGAACTGCCCTGAGATCTTTTGATGAAAGGTAGTGTAAAAATTTAATTTGATGATGATGATATCACAACCCCATTACAAAAATATGTAGATTAGCACATTAAGGATTCCTGCATATTAAGGATTAGGAGTCATTTTCTTAGATGCATTGAACTATGATAGCACCAGATATATCATAACATCATGCAACAGAGTAGGTGAGTTTTCAGTCTGATCAAGGTGTCTCCCCTGGGAAATGATATATAATGAATTGAAAAAAGTATTTAAATATACCTTTCTGAAGAAACCAGATGCCTTTCTTCTGGGCATGGTCGGCCAATTGGTGCGAAGGGAGGATAGAACTTTCTTTATGTATGCTACAACAGCAGCAAGAATACTCATCGGGAAGTACTGGAAGACACAAGAATTGCCCACCCGAGAAGAATGGCAGATGAAAGTGATGGACTACATGGAACTGGCTGAGATGACTGGCAGAATTCGAGACCAGGGAGAAGGGTCGATGGAAGAAGATTGGAAAAAATTCAAAATATACCTTCAAAAATACTGCAATATAAAAGAATGTTAGAAAGAGGTTGGAAAAAGAATATTAGGTCGTTCTGGTAGATATGATATAATGGACTAAGCAAAAATGAGTTGATGAAATTGATGAAATAGAGGAGGTTTAATTACATTATTTTAATTTTAAAATACGTAAATGAAAATAAGGTTAGAAGGATTTGCTGGAAACACGATCTGAACTAGAATACAAAATTGGGAGGTGAGAGGAGGTCATGGAAATAAGTAAAGGGAAAAGGTTATGTAAAGGTTTAATCTGCTTTTGTTTTATTTCAACTTAATGTATTTTTATATTTTTTGTTAAGTCTTCTTTTTTATTCTATCTTATTGTTCTTTTTTACTTGTTCATCTTTTGCTTTGTTATGGCTAAAGTTTTCTTTGTATTTTGTATGGTTTTTCTTTTTCTTTTTTGTAACTTTAAATTTGGAATAAATATCATTTAAAAAAAAAAAGAGTTTTCAGTCTGTTTTACCAACAGTATAGGGCCAACAGTATAAGGAGAAAGGAGATTCAATGATCTAGTATCTTTAAATGTGGTCTTTAAATGTGGTTATACTATGCTTTTCAAGCATGAAGACAAACCAATAACAAAATAATAAGAAAATGAATATCAAAAAGGCAAACATTGACTAGCTTGCCAAAGTCCACTATAGCATTCTGGCATAGATGGGTTCCTAGAGTTGTTAAACGTAAGGGATTTTCCCAAGGTCACAATTAAAGTTTTGAAATATTTAGCAACAATGCATTTTTATATAGTGCCTCAAGTGTACTGCTCAGTCAGGCACTGGAGGGGTCTGAAACACAGGATGGAAAAATCAGACAGCAGAGCAAATATCAAGTTTGGGGAATTAGCATCTGCAAATATGCCTATCTCATTTGTACATTGATTTTATAGAATTATAAAAGTTTGCATCAGGGATTAGTTTCACCGCTTGATTTTACCCTCCATGAATTTGTCTAAACCTCTCTCAAAGCAGGACTGGCCCACCCATGGGACGAGGTGAGGTGACCACCTCGGGTGGCAGCATCCATAGTCAGCAAAGGAATGTATTGTCCACTGCTGCCACCAAGGTGGCAACGATGGCTGCAGCTCACTCCTTAGAGGCGCTTCCCTGGCAGCCCCCCCCCATGCCACCTCTATTGCAGCCCCTCAGTGAATAGGAGACATTGCTGCTCTCCTCCCACACTTAAGAGAGGAAATAGTGGGGGCTGCTCTGTGGGGTCTCCTGGGTTCTGCACCCACCCAGTGTTCTTCAGAGCAGGTCCCTTTCCCCCGCGTGACAGCCTTTGATCCCCACTTCAGCTGTCTGGTAAGGATGATTTTATTCCTCCTCCCTTGCTCCTGATAAAGATCTTTATCCTCCCACACACAGCTTGTTCCTGATGTAGAGCTTCACCCCCTTCTTCTATTGTAGCAGGAGGGAGTGCCATTTTGTGGTTCTCCTCAGGGGCCAAAATGTCTTGGGCCAGCCATGTTTTAAAGCCATCCAAGATGGCAGCCATCACTGGCTCCAGTGGGAGTGAGTTCCATTGTTTAACTATGCACTGCGTAGTACTTTGTTTTGTCTGCCCTGAATCTCTCAACATATTTTATTTCAAAAGAAGCTCCCTTTAGTGTTAGACAGTTGTCTTCGTAAAATGGAAGATGTATTGCCGTTCAGTGCGTATTTATGCTCAGAGTTATAATTGCACAACTGAAATGGACATGTTGTGTATGTCCTCATACAGATACAAGTCCAAAATTGCACTACTGTAATAAGTTACAATCTTTAATAATGCAATTTTCCTCTAAGTGAGAAGCATGACTAAGTGTTTCTTCTCAGACCTGTACACTTGGGATAGACTAAACACCATTTAGTCTATCCCCCCTGCCCCAGAGCAGAGCCATCGAGCCACCAGTTTCTAGAGAACAACCTACGTAATCCAGTGTAATTCACACAGAGAGCAACCGCATTAAAGTAAGTTGCCTGCAGAGCAAATAGCTCCAGATGTCTCAAGTAAAATATCTTTTGCAACACAATCCCTTTAAAGAACAGAAATTTAGTCTTACTGCTCACCTATAAAAACAAAACAAAACACTGAATGCGAGGAAACAGGCTGATGATTATTCAAAACAGCTGCACTATATTGGGATGACGAGTATTCTGGACATGGTCAGGATGACTGAAACAGTGAGGATAATACACAAATCAGCTTATATACTTTCCATGCAGATTAAGGATTTGCAGCAGGGCATTGCTCTTCTACCTGGAGAAAAGGGGAAACAAATGAGGCTGACCACCTGAGTCAAGAAAGATGAGAGTAGAGCAACAAAAGAACCCTGATGGGTGAGGCAAATAGGCCATTTAGTCTAGCATCCTTTCCCCCTAAAGTGACCAGACAGATGCTTCCAGGAATTCAAGGCAAGAGCATCCTCTGTTCTTTGTCTCTCCTGGCAATTGCTACGCCGCATCTGAACCTGGAGGTTCTATTTAGCAGTTCTGGCTAATAGGCATTAAATTTGCCCAATCACATTTTAAAGCCTTCTATAAGCCAGTGCCCATTGCTAACTCCAGCGGCAGTGAATTCCATACACTGTATTGGACAGCTTAGTTGGCAGAGCAGGAGACTCTTAACTGCAGGGTTGTGTGTTTGAGCCCCATGCTGGACAGAAAGATTCCTGCGTTGCAGGGGGTTGGACTTAGATGGCCCTTGTAGTCCCTTCCAACACTACAGTTCTATGATTCTATGTTTTATTTTGTCTATCCTAAATATATTCCATTGCCTGTCCTAAATCTAATTTTTACTGAGATGCAGTAAGATTCCATTGATATAGCAGAGAGACGAAGAAATAAATTAACTTTCTCCATATGATGTGTAATAAATCTGTGCTAGATACTCCCTGAGATACTCCCCCCCACCCCCGCCAAGTCAAACAGGCCCAGACACTTAACCTTGCATCACAGGAAAGAGGCTGCAATCCTTTGATCATTGGGGATTCCCTTTT